TTCTGTGTCAGCCGCGACACAAGGATACGTTTTCTACATGTATTTACGCTTTAATTTGAACGAAAACAGCGTATCCTTGTGTCGCGGCTGACACAGAATAGCGTACGCTGCTTGCGTTCAGCGGATATTCTACAAAATGGCGCTACAGTAATGTGGAGAGACACAGAGGAGATTAATTGTTGAATAAAGTCGTTATTTTTGTTTTCTTCGCATTCAAAAAGTATTCTCGTCACTTCATAACGTTACGGTTGAACCACTGATGGCAGATGGACTATTCTGATGATGTCTTTCATACTTTTCTGGACCTTGACAGTGTAATTTACTTGGCAGTCAATCGGACAGTCACAAGCCTCCCGGTTTTCATCCAAAATATCTTAAATTGTGTTCCGAAGACAAACGAAGCTTTTACAGGATTGGAACGACATGGGGGTAAGTGATTAATGACAAAATTTTCATTTTGGGGTGGAGTATCCCTTTAATTTCATCAGCTGGTCACGGACACGGACACCACCTGACTGCTCAAAGAAAAACCTGAGATCCTTGTTGTCAGTGGTGCATAAGAACAAAATTCGAGTCCTCAAACGGAATATTCCTCAAAATGGAATTCAAAAAATAATGACTGTTTTCGAACAGTTATCCATTATTCCTTCTTCCATTCTGCTCTTTCTTTTCTGCTCTGCTCTCCCAAAGGAGCAGATACTCGTGATGAGTGTTTTCTCATCTCGTTAGAGCGGGAGGAAGATAATAAGAAGGAGCTAAATAGAAAAATAATGCATCCAGGAAAGAAAACCAAGATGAGTGAGGACAAAGCTGCATCTATAGGCCCTGTCCCAAATGGAACACTTCATGTGCACTTACGGTCTTACGGACTTACAATGGCCACCGCATGCGCATGTCTGTTAAGTCCTAAAGACCATAGGGTGTCCCATTTGTCATTTTAGCATTCAGAAGGGTGCTCGCGAGCGCCTCCTTTGCGGCCGTTATGCGCCCTCGATCTGCACTTCTGCCGAGCTCCGCAACTGGGGCGAGCTCCGCAGCAGACTTCTACCCGACAGTCAAAGCGGCATTACGTCACAAAAGTGCGGACTCGGAGGAAGACCGTGAGAGTTTAGGGTGCCATTTGGGACATGTGCTTTGTGAGGAGGGTTTGGTATCAGAGAACTTGAAGGCGCTTCTGATGACCATAACCCCAGATACTGATCCTTCTCCACATCACTAATGGTCTTGCCAGTAATACAGATAATTCTGATTTCCTGACTTCCTATGTAATAAAAACAAAACCATACATACTTGATCACTTCACTCATAGGCCCTGTCCCAAATGACACCCTAAACCCTCGCGGCCTTCCTCTGAGTCCGCACTTTCTGATTTACTGAAATAACCTGCCTGATTTATCTCAACTGCTCTGTGTACCAATAAGTACACATGAACTAGACGAACTCTGGATTAACATCCCGTGGTAACCAGGATTTACACAAGCTTCAGTCTGGATCCAGAACACCTGAGAAGAGATGATGCAACCCCTCAGAGGACCTCAGATGACGCCAACCCTGAAACAACATACAGAACTACCACATTTTGCTATAAGTTGATTGCATCATATAATAATTGCTGTTAATATTGTTCATCGTCTGTTTTATTACGTCTTAAATTGATTATTGTGAAATTTTACTGCTGGTTCGTCTGGTCAGAGGAGAACTGACCCCCCGACTGAGCCTGGTTTCTCCCAAGGTTTTTTCTCCATTCTGTCACCGATGGAGTTTTGGTTCCTTGCTGCTGTTGCCTCTGGCTTGCTTAGTTGGGGACACTTCATTTCCAGCGTTATCGTTGACATGATTGCAACAATATTATTTAAACTGAGCTGGATGTTGACATCACTGAATTCAATGATGAACTGTCTTTAACTGAAAAATTAGTGTTTACTATTGTCATTTTGCATTATTGACACTATTTTCCTAATTAATGCTGTTCAGTTGCTTTGTCACAATCTGTATTGTTAAAAGCGCTATATAAATAAAGGTGACTTGACTTGACTTGACTTTCGTGATGTAATGCCGCTTTGACTGTCGGGTAGAAGTCTGCTGCGGAGCACGCCCCGCTGTGGGCTCGCCAGAAGTGCGCATTGAGGGCGCATAGGGGCACTCACGAGCAGCCTTTTGAATGCTGAAATGACGAAATGGATACCCTATGGTCTCGTGGACTTAACGGACACAAGACCGCAAGTGTACATGAAGTGTTTCATTTGGGACAGGGCCATAATCTTCAGAAAGTGTGTGGAAGGAAGCTAATTAGTGTTAGCATTGTGCAAACCCATGAATCACTATTTCACAGTAGACTTTTTAAGTGATATTTTGCAATTGCATATACTTTTTTTTGTAGGCTACTTGTGACTCTCTCACAACGTGACTGTATCTTGCACTTGTGGCTTTATTTCCTGTAATTGTAACTTTATGTATCACAGTGTGACTTCTTATTTTAACATTTCTGTGGTGGAAACAGGCTTCTATATAAACTCATACAGTTTAGAAATCTGGATTATGAAAATCTGAATCAGAATTTCCTTGTCTGCTTGCTTGTTCTTACAATTTTGTGGTCCTGACCCTCGGCCAGGCCACCAATGATTAATGTTGCGGTCGTAAAGGAAAAGATATATGAAACGTGAATCGCTCATGATGGAATTTAAATCTTTGCAAGTTTTTGAAATATGGTTCTGCTGCTTGAGAAATATTCTACAAAGAATAAAGCCACAAACAGTGTCCTAATCAAATAAGCAGTCCTGCGAGATATTACTGATGTGTGAGCAGTGCAGTCTGTTCCTCGCTTTCTTACACCCAGAAAAAAAAAAAATATTTTATAGAGCACAGTTCACAGCTTCCGTATTCACCGTGAATCTGAGCTTTCACCTCTGCTGTTTTTTTATCTAATTTCACCTACGCTTATCCATTACTCCTTCTTCCACTCTTTCTTTTCTGCTCTGCTCTCCCAAAGGAGCACGTACTGAGCAAGTATTTTCTCATCTCGTTAGAGAGGGAGAAAGATAATAATAAGGTGCTAAATAGAAAAATAAGGCATCCAGGAAAGAAAACCAGGAGGAAAGAGGACAAAGCTGCATCTAAATGTGCTTTAATTGGCGTAAGGAGGGGTTTGGTATCAGAGAACTGTACAAGGTGGCGCTTCTGATGTTAACATGGCCAAAACCCCAACTACTGATCCTTCTCCACTAATGATCTTGCCAGTAATGTAATAAAACAAAGAAGTTCATACTTGGCCACAAGTGTGAGCCAAGAAGCTAATTATTGAATATGCATTTTTGTTCCTCCTAAAATTTTGTTAGATGCTCTGTTTTTTCAGTATACTGATCCTTAATTGCTGTTCATTATTTGCATAAGCTCTTCATCTGTCTGTATTTTTACATTAACACTGTAATTAATATTATATATTCAAGCCAAGTATGAATCTCATCAAGTTAGTGTTTTTATGCATTTTTAAGCATACTGCCTTGCAGTAGCCTACTGTTACAATTTAAACAGTATATTTTATTTGTAAACTTATGTTCAGCTATTCTTTTTAATAGTTAACTTTTAATTATTTTTGAATTTTTCGTATCATCAGTCATCAAAGCTCTGTAAATATTGTTCACAGTTTACTTACTTTTTAAAAAATTTATATTTTTTATAATATTAGTCTTCCCAGTGACGCCATTTTATTGTTCATTTATAATGAATCACAAATGGGTAACGCACACGAACACAACAGGCGGGATTTATCGCATGAACCAATCACAGCCGAACATAACCAGTCATATCCATTCATATCGCGATGATTGGATATGCCTCCTCTCACGTGACTTTTCCCCATTCATTCTCAATAACCCTCCCAGCAAACTCACATCCTGCTTTAGGTGGTCTGTTAAAACTCAGTGGGTTCAGGGGAGGTGAGAGAGATGTGGACTCCCGCTGGTGTCGCTCTTGGGCAATGCTTCTTTAGAAAAACGCTTTCTACTGTTATATTTGGTTTATACACTTTTTAATGTAATTTTGTAACGTTGGTGTTGTTTTACACACACACTCATATGTTAACCTGCTGTTGACACAGGAGTAGCCCAAGGATAGAGAAATGGAAACAAACAAAGAAGCTTGAAATCATAGTTAGAGCTCATTAACTGGGCAGGCTAAATGTCTTTGCATATTCCTTTGTGAGCTCTGTTATATTTACATTTCTGTAACTGACTGCCTTTCTTTCCTCAGCAGTCATATCTGTCAGGGTATGCTGTGTTCCCTCTCTCCAGGAGGTCCCTTTAATTAAAACTGTGAATACAAAAACAGGGAGAAAGAGTCCTATTAATCAAACTCAAACAGACCTATGTTCAAAATCCAAAACTATCCCTCTCCCTCCTCTTGTCCTCCATCCTATTTATTCCTTAATTTTCTTCTTTTTGGCTTCCATCTTTCGCTGGCTCTGAGCAGTCAGAAGAGCTTTGAAGGCCACACATTATGCTTCACACACGTACAAATACGAACACACATCCACGTACTGTCAAGGGCCGTGCCATCTGGTTGTGTAGGGATTTGACTCTGGGCTCCAGCTGCCACTGAAGAGACACTAAAATGAAAGTGATTTGAATTTCTCTGCTCCGAAAGACAGTCACGATGGAGTTTTGAATGTTAATATAGCATTTGAAACACCAGTTGCATGTTTATGAGTGCCTCTGTCCTCTGGACATTCAACTCATTCAACCAGCCAAGTAAAATCGCTGGGATTGAGGTTGCGTGTTTTAATGGTGCACTATAGAGGTTTTTTCTTGGTGGTGGTAAAAATGAACAGAAATCAATTTTTAAGCAAGCACATAAAAAAATCAGTTTTAAAAATGGTAAGTTTGTAATGATTTATAATTTGAGGTATTAGGTTGGATTTCTTTGGATTTTCTTTGCGTGGTTACATCATATCTGTAAACAAAGAGAATGTAGTGTTTTAATAGTTCTAACAGCTTATAGCCATAACTAATAAGCAACATTATTAACACATAGTTCAAAAAGGCAAGAGATGGTGACAACTGGAGACTTTTTCTGGCAAACAAAAACAATTCAAGGATTCAGTCAAAATCAAGTTTTTCCCCCTTTTTTAATGATCGAGATGTTGTTTCACATGGTTTTATATCAAAATAGGGGGGAAAAGATGGATGCAATTTCCTTTTTATTCCAACTTTAAGCTTGAAATTTTATAGTCAGCTCTTCCATGTTGACTTGAATATTGAACTTGAGTTATCCAAACCAAATACAATTAACCATTAACTAATGTAAAAAAAAAAAACAGGACTGATGATATTCAGCTTATTTTTCTTTTCTTTTTTTTTATATTATTTTATGTTTCACAAAAATATTAGCATGTGCATTTTAAATGTATGATTATATTATATTATATTATATTATATTATATTATATTATATTATATTATATTATATTATATTATATTATATATTATTATATTATATTATATTATATTATATTATATTATATTATATTATATTATATTATATTATATTATATTATATTATATTATATTATATTATATTATATTATATTATATTATATTATATATTCTGACCACAAAATAAGATATTTTAGAAAAAGTTTCAACTGTTATTGTACATACAGTGGAATTCAGTGGGGTGGAAAACAACATTAACCCCCATTGACTTTAATGGTATGGACAAAAAACAATGAGGTTTGAAATGATATGAAGGTGAGTAAATGATGACAGAGTATTCATATATAGATATTCATATTCATTTCAATCCCTTTAAGTCATTTTCATAGAAAGATGAGCGAGGAATAACAAGATTTGGTTCAGGTTAGGACGCAGAGACTGGTGGTTACATGCTGTTTCTTGTTGTTATTTCTTTATAAGATGTTTCTTTATAAGATGGGTATTGCATTTATTAGTCTTGGATCATTCAGTGGGTTAACATGAGCTCTGAATGCGAGGTCATTCTACAAGGTCAAATTTAGACTTTTGAAATCTCCATCTGCCAAAAAATACATGTGGTAATTCATAGTTGCAAGAGGGTCAAGATGAAGTAAATGGTTCGGAAATTTCATGTCTTGAACTTTCTAATAAAGTTTCCATTACCACCATCTGAGATCTGGACGTGGGTTTACATCAGATGAGTTTATAGAGTCACAGGCCACTGCCTTTAATGGTATGTGAAAATAGAGGATTTGGGTGAATTTGAGGTGACATACGGGCCCAAGCACAGGCTGCGTGGCTCCCTGCGGAGGCCATGACAGTGAATTTGATGTGGGATTGTAGAGTTGTACTAACTCATTTCCCCTCTGTGTTCCCCAAGCTACGCTCCTGGAGTCTTAAAGGAGCCCCATTGTGAGGGGTTGGATGTCACAACACTCGGAGCACGGAATGCCCGGGTGCTTTACAAAGACGCTCCTGTTCATGCCGACCCCCCTCTTTTCCTCTCTCCCACCTTCCCTCGCTCTCCCCTTCCATCTCCATGTGCTCAGAGGCGAGGCCTGCACAAATGCAAGCTAAGTGATAGATGTGCTCTGTTACATGATCCACAGCACACTCCATCCCCTCTGATTCCAGCAGTACAACACATTCCCAAAGACAAAGAGAACTTGGGAGAGAGGAAGTTCTTATACATCCACACATACACCGAGACCATATGCATGCCTAAAGGACATTTTTGTCACTCAGAGTTTCCTCGTTCATAACTTAGTGGAGGCCTAATGGAGTTTGTGACTGAGTTTCAGTTACATATCAATCTTTTAGATGGTTTTGCTCAAATTGCTTAAAGGGACAGTTGACTTAAAAATAAAATTAAAAATCTGTCATAATTTATGTCATTCCAAACCTGTATTACTTTGTTTCTTAGGTGAAACATAAAATAAGATATTTTGATAAATGTCTCATTGTTTGGTTACCAACACTCTTAAAATATCTTCTTTTGCCAAAGAAAGACAGTAATCCAGGTTAGGAACAACATGGGCGAGTAAATTATGACAGAATGTTAATTTTTAAGGTAAACTATCCCTTTAAAATCCCTTAAAAATTTTGCAGAAGAAGAATTTATGACTTTTGATTGCAGCATCGGTATCTAGGCAAAATAAAGCACAGTTTGAGTCATTGTTGACCATCTTTTGTCATCTTTTGACCATCTCTGGAGGAGACATGAGATTTCTAAGGACTTTTACTTTTTATAGTTTCTGCTTATTCTCCTTTTGTTGGTTCTGATTTTTTATTCCTATACATTCAGATAGCTCCAGAGTAAAACATAATGTAGCCCTTGAATAAAACCAAAATCTTTTTGAGAAGACAGATTCATATTTGTTTGGCAGGAATGGAGGCGTTTAAATCATTTCAAAATAATCCGGTTAAGATAATGGTGAGAAATGCTGCGTTGCAGATCTGTGACAAACTATGCAGAGAATAGTTGTGCCATTAATCAAGTTAATCCCACCAAACTGTGGTGACCCACTAGACACCAAACAAGAGAGCAAAAACACACTCTGTTTGATGGGTAATGTCTTTGCTATGCTGACCTATCAGTGAGACAGCGGGAGACACAAGAGGTTGGTTTTCTGTAATGTTTCTATGGTTATCCTTCACTTAAACTTACTCAGTATTTGTCTGTCTGCTGAGGACTCTGAAATGTGTACACAGGCCAGTGTTGTGGAGTCACTTATATACCACTATATACATCAGAGAAGAGTTCACACAGTCCTTCTATTTCTGTGGATCAGGATATGAAACCACTGGTTGACCCAGAGGAGGAATTTCTGTATCATTCATGGTTTAACTTGAGTCATGTATTGTATTTCAGCGTGAACTGGGACAAAATGTAGAGTGGGAATAACTTTTATCATCAGGAATGGATTGCTTCATTACAATGGCTATTACATACCAGAATGATTTAGGCATGAACCTATGCACCTATATGAATTGTGTACAGTATGAATATTAAAGGGATAGTTCACCCAAAAAATGAAAATTACCCCTCACCTCAAGCCATCCTGGGTGTATATGACTTTCTTCTTTCAGATGAATAGTCAGAGTTATATTAAAAAATGTCCTGGCTCTTCCAAGCGTTATAATGGCAGTGAATGGGGGTCTAGATTTTGAAGCCCAAAAAAATGCATCCATCCATCATAAAAGTACTCCACATGGCTCCGGGGGGATAAAGGCCTTCTGAGGGAAGTGATGTGTTTGTGTAAGAAAAATGTCCATATTTAAATTTAGTTTTTATTCTCTGTGGTACACGCGTATTGTGCATATCAAAATAAAACCAAAATCGTGATATAGCATCCATAGACATCCATAAATATTAGTATTTACAGTTGTATTGTAAAATAAATATATAATAATATTAAAAATATTTATTTTTCTTAAATCTTTTAATTTTAAATACAAATATCACATTGTTTGCCATAGTAATATCTATTTTATTCAATAATAATAATAATTTATTATTAGCCCTACAAACAAGCACATTAAAACTGCACCTTTTTTTTTTTAAAGAAAAATTGTAATTGGATGGTGTGTAGATGAATGTGTTCTAGCCGACCATCTCGTTTTGAGTCCGCTAACTATTTTTGCTGCACATTTTCCACCGTTTCCAAAAACACAAATATTCTCTTATTAATATTCGCACACTTGTTCAAACATTCCATCCAGCCACACTCACAAACACACACATCTAAATACGTAAACAGTATTTTATTTACACAGTCACTCAGTGTGTCAGCTTCTCCATCGAACGGCCAGTCGGTCTTATTTGATGAGAGGTAGTCAGTCTGAACTTAATTCAAATCATGTGGGCAGATGGAGTGAGTGATATATACAGAGAAGGGCAGTGAAAGACATAAAAGACAGTGAGAGAAACCCTTGAAAAGCATCAGATCAGTCTTCAGTTGCACTTTCTTGGATGATATCCTGAGCCCTCGGTGTTTGTTTGTCTGAGAGTGTCAGAGAGCTGGTTTGTTTGTGTGTGTCAGAAAGGTGTAAAGTCTTCTCCACCCTCTGCTCAGCTGGACAGGAACTCTGAGGCGTCTACACCAGGACTCCAGCTGTTTGGCCCAAACGCTCTCGCATCACATACACACACTCCATTTTATCGTCACAACAAGGTCTGTATAGAATATATACAGTGTGTCTTATGTTGAGGATAAACACAGGCCAGATGTTATTTACTGAATCTTTATTGTTAAATGTTTGATTACTAACTCTCTGGACATAAGCCACGACCATTTTTTTGTTTACGTGTGCCTGAGCATCAGAGAATGTTTGGCCCTTTGTATTTATTGATTTTTCTGATGAAAATCCTTAGGCAACTCTTCACACATGTCAAACTCTGTAGCTAAAGAAACATGCAACGGCTTTCGTAACACATTCAGATGATAAGTTCATCCAAAAACTTGAACTTGTGTTTGCTACACAGTGAAAATGGATGATGAATTGGAAAGGACCAAAAGCACTATACAAATCATTTGCAGTTGCTTTTTTGGTTAGAACAAATAAGCCATATATCATTTTTTTTTTTTGTCAGTTTTAGAGCTTGGCTGTGTAAATCAACAGCCACTTTCGTTGTATGTAAAAGTGCAGCTTGGACATTCTGATAACGTTAAATATTTGTGATTCACAGAAGAATTAAATAA